ACATGTGACAATGTTACAAAACTTTGTAGCTGAAACGGACAAGATCTTGTGCTTCAATCCAAGGTCATATGGCCCGGCATGGCCAGGTGGTTAGGGCGCTCGACTCGCAATCTGAGGGTCGCGGGTTCCAATCCCCATCACACCAAACATGCTCGCCCTTTCAACCGTGGGGGCGTTATAATGTGACGGGCAATCCCACTATTCGTTGGTAAAACAGTAGCCCAAGAGTTGGCGGTGGGTGGTGATGACTAGCTGCCTTCCCTCTAGTCTAACGCTGCTAAATTAGGGACGGCTAGCACAGATAGCCCTCGTGTAGCTATGCACGAAATTCAAAAACAAAACAAAACAAACAGTCCAAGATCTTATACTGGAACTATGTAAAAAATGAAACAAAGATAAACGCTGTTTTTTAGTACGTGTTTTCTAATAAAGTATTATGAACAAAAACATGCTTGAGAAAAAAAAATATGCCAAAGCACGTAAACAGCTACTTAAAAAATAAATAATTTCTGTTAGTTTTCTTTTAAAATTATGTTTGTGATTTCTATAACTGGAATTCGAGTACCTATTAAACTGTCTAACATATCGATCTATCTAATAATAAAGGCGTTTTTGGTGGTTATTTCACCCACAAATCCTTTTTTTGTATACCACCAAAGTCCTCATCACGGTATCCTTGATTTATGGACCCTATAACTCAGATTTCGATCTTTAATTATCTTAACTGTCAATTTCAGGAAGGAGTTCCATCATTTTAGAGCTCGGTTGTATATTCTTTCAGAAGCAGATCAGTAATTAGCATTGAATCAAGTTGAAGTTACGTTTATGACTCAGTTTCATTTTAAAATATTTCTTAGTTCAAAATAACACAGTTGGTCACTTACTGATTATAAAAACCTATGCACCGTTTCCTGAGAATGTCGAGATGGTTCTGAAACTACCAACAGGCATCTGTCCCATACATAAAATGAAACCTCTCTGACCTGGCTTATAAAATGCCTCCAAATCATTATCAGTGATTGAAAGGGTACGTGACTGCTCGTTCTGAGATGAAATGTTTATACAGCGGGGCTCTTAAATAAGGAGAATATTCAGTTACTCAATGAAAGTGGAAAATGGTAAAGTAGAGCGTTTAGAAGAGCTCCGAAACCATATCTGAAGCCATTTAGAACGAACTTCATTTTCTTGCAAAAATTTCGAAAACAGTAGAGAACCCTCAAATCCATAATAATCATTGTGGTTAAACCAGTCTTATCTCCTGGTATTGTTAACAAGATAATAAATAATTATTTTGATTTAAAGACTCACAAGCGAAAGGTTCAGAAACCTCAGCAATATTTCGAAGTCAATAACTGTTTTCATGTATGTGATGGATAAACAAACTGTAAATACAGTAATGTTGTTCGACCAAATACGTGTTATTAAATCTCCTCGGTGCAACTCTAACAGAGTCTTTATCTCATTGATCTATTTAAATGTGATCTGGAAGTCGTTGATCCTAGAAAAACAGCGAAAGAGGAGGGGTTTTTTGGAATTTCTCGCAAAGCTACGCGAGGGCTATCTGCGCTAGCCGTCCATAATTTAACAGTGTAAGACTAGAGGGAAGGCAGCTAGTCATCATCACCCACCGCCAACTCTTGGGCTACTCTTTTATCAACGAATAGTGGGATTGACCGTCACATTATAACGACCCCACGGCTGAAAGAGCGAGCATGTTTGATGGGACGGGGATTTGAATCTACGACCCTCAGATTGCTAGTCGAGAGCCCTAGGCCACCTGGCCATGCCGGGCCCTTGGAAGAGGAGGAGAGAAAGAGGTAAACATTGGCATATGTTATCTAAAGAAGCCTGGTCACATAGGAATATTGTTGGAGGGCCGCTGATAAGTAGACAGAATATGATTTCTGAGTAAAATCTGAACTTAAGTTCTGATATGTCGAACTTAATCATTGTTTCCAAAAGTGTGGATGACTTTCCATCAAAAACACCGATGAAACATATTCAGAAATGTTTAAATGTTTGTAGGATGAGCTATACAAATCCAGCATACCTTTTGTTTTAACGGCATCACGTGCGAAACGGCCATGTCAGAGAACACAGGATTCAGTCATAACAATCCCGAATTTCGAATTGATGATCAGAGAAAGAGCAGCCAGTCTGCCATATCCGCAGCTTATAACCGAAAAGCAAGACTGGTCGTCATTTTCATAAACCTCACACAAATGAATGTGCATTCAGCAACATATCACAGGACCGGATGTTGGACCTTTTTATTGTAATAGGTCACACCCAACGCACCAAATAAGAAAAGAAACAACTGAATGAAAGGAGAGAGTTAAAGAGAAATAAGTAGACAGGATTGCTAAGACACATACATAATTACTCTTAAGAAATTATCTAAGAATCTTTGTCACATTACAGTTCTATTTCGAAAAGCAATGTGCTATACTTATCAAAGCTACACAATGGGCTATCTGTGCTCTGCCCACCACGGGTATCGAAACCCGGATTCTAACGTTGTAAGTCCGCAGACATACTGCTGTGCCACTGGGGGGGGGGGGGCAGCTCTGTCTAAGAGAACTATTCTGAATTTTAACTAATCACCCGGTGGGACAGCGGCAACTCTACGGACTTAAAATACTAGCCTTCCTTCATTTTGAATTGATAGAAAGAAGGAAAGTAGCTAGTCAACAGCACCCAACACGAAATCTTGGACTACACTAACCGAATAGCGGTATTTGATTGTCACCCTTATACTACAGCTACTTCGCCAAAGTGAGAAGCGCAATATTGTGGAAAAGAGATACGAGCCATGAACCCTCGGATTCACAGTTCGGCAAACTAACCGCTAGGCCACGACCAGCTCAGGAAAGGAATTAATAAAATAGAACAGAACTACAAATGACCCAATATATTCCGAAAGGTAGCTAAGAGAGGCTAATAATTCCCATCAGTTAACAGGCCCATTATTATCAACTGAACCTTGAAAGTTCCGTATGAAGTTCAAATGTTTAGTAGCAATTTGATGGGGCAGGGAAGTTCATATTTTACTGATACCAATGCGAATATTGTAATAATACATGGATTAAACAAGCGTGTTCTTTTATTGCGTTAGATTTCTTGGAATAGAGTTAGTTAGGTAAAGTTACAGCGAAACAGAAATGGGTCAGAAAAATTCAATAGTTTTCACATTACAGATCGTCACTCTCCATAAGATGGCGCTGTTGCATGGCATCAATATCTCGGTTCCCGTGAAGAAGCGTTTGCGTTACAATAGACAGTACGACGACTTGAAACTTGTGGTTGGGAAAATACGGTCTATTAGGGTTATCTTTGCGTGAATATATTAATGATAGATTCAATAAGATTGTTAAGCATCAAAGTACGAGAATTGTAAATAATATTGTCCAACGTGCAATGTGTTAACGTAGGAAGTGATTTTTGAAAACACCCTTCAAACCTTAAATAATAATAAACTGTTCAACATGTATATTGAAACTTTACTGCTGAATATTTCTTGAACAAGGTGTGGTGCCAGGCCTCGCTATGGGCACGAATACTCTGCCTATACTGGTACCACGTGGAAGTCCATGGCAACGGTTACCTGGAAACACTATACTCGTTGTTGTTGGACTGTTTATCACTGCAAACTTTCTTGCACGTGTCGGCGGCGAGTATCACTCGCTTGCGAATAAACATGAAAAGGTAAGTTATTTTATATTATTTGTAAGTATCGAAGTTACTGAATGTATGGATCAACATAACTTTGATAAATAGATAAAAAAATTGGTATACTTAAAACTATAAACAAAGCAACGGCTTGACATTAGGCTAAGATTATTATTCTTTGATTGTTTGAAGGCAGTATTTCCTTATGATTTTGGAACACCGTTTTGTTTACAAATTGTTTAGTTCAAATTCCATACGAAAGCACTTTTATCATAACATATAGCAAGAACTACCTAAAAAACTGTAATCTTCTAATAGGATAATTAACGTAGTAAATTAGACTTTGCTTCAATTTATGAACACTATATGAAAGCTACTGTAAATGTAACCTATATGTTTGTTTTCGTATCTTCCCTGCTAACGAATGCCATTACCAGTTATTTATTACAGAATGATAGCAAAGAAACACTCTTCACACGTTGAAGAAAGACGTGTGTGTTGTTTATATAACAAAAAATAAACAACTTCATTCAGTTAATAACATTTATATAACACTTTGTTGAGGAAGAATACAGAGTGGTGTTTATATACTGTTATCATTGTATAACACTTTGTTGAGGAAGAATACAGAGTGGTTTTATATACTGTTATCTTTATATAACACTTTGTTGAGGAAGAATACATAGTGGTGTTTGTATACTGTTATCTTTATATAACACTTTGTTGAGGAAGAATACATAGTGGTGTTTGTATACTGTTAT